CGATTCTGATGCAAAAGTGGCTACTTAAAAAAAAAAAAAAAGAAAGAGAGGACTGTAAAAATAAAAGTGTTTTTGTTTAAGGGTATTTTTAAAATATTTTTAAAAAAATTATTTTTTTTCTCTTTTTTCTCTTTTTCTGCAATGTTGCATCGCGTTACAAAAGGGATATTATTTTCCCCTTTCCAGGGGAAGGGGGAGGACGTTTATATTCGTGAAATTCATAGGACGTAATTCCCTACATTAAATTGTCGATCCTTTCGAGACTTTTATCGTTGCACGTTTTTTTTATTATAAGTCGTCATAACCGATATAATAAAATTATATCGCTACAATCGTTTCGCCGAGGCAAAAAAACGATGCTTGGCAATAATAACGAAGAAAACGTAGATAAAAACGTAGGTTCTTTAGACTTGGAGTGGCGATTCGTATCGAAATTTCGTACGAAAAGTAAGGTTTCTTTATTATATTATTTCTTTATTTATTTTCTTCCTCCAATTAAACGGAGAGAAAAGTGGTGGTGGATTGGTCGACGGTTGAAATTAATTATCGGCAGAAGTGTGCTAAATACGGAGGGGGGATACGAAGTTGACCGTGCCACGAGCAAGCGTGGTGGCGAACACGCGAAAACAATTGCCGAGTTGCCGAGCTGGGAATTAAATAATTTGTCGCCGTTTTCCGAATTTAACAACGATTCAAGTTTCGATTCTTTGAAATTGTTCTTAAGTGAAGATACCCGCTTTCGTATTTTCCCGCGTAAAGTTTCAGGAAGAATCGGATTTTTTTTTTTTTTTTTGCGCCTCGAGTCTAGAATTTGAATTTGCGTGGCATCTTCGTGCGAATGAAGATAACCATTCGAATCATTAATTAAACGATCTTGAACGAGGATAATTCCTTGAATTCTTCAAAAATCTTGACAATTTTCACGAATGATTATATTAAAAATTAGTTTTAAAAAATAAGCTAAAGAATAAGCCATAAAATCTAATAAAATTTTATTAAAAAGAATACACACATATATATTTTTTTTATTGAGCTTGGATAATCTTAAATTGTCTTCAAAAATCTTGACTATTTTCACGAATGATTACATTAGAAATTAATTTTAAAGAATAAGCCATGAAATCTGATAAAATTTTAATAAAAAGAATATATATAATAATAAATAAATAAAAATATAATTATTTATATAAATATAAATATATATATTTTTTTTAATGAACTTGGATAATTTCTTGAATTATCTTCAAGAATCTTAACAATTTTCATGAATGATTATATTAAAACTTAGTTTTAAAGAAACTCTGAATAAGACATAAAATCTTATTAATAAAATTTTATTAAAAAGAATACACATATATATATATTTTGAATTTGGATAATCTTGAATTGTCTTCAAAAATCTTGACAATTTTCGCAAATGATTAAAAATTAAAAATTATTAAAAATTAGTTTTAAAGAAT